CCCCTTTCTTTGCCTCCAGAAGTTGTGCGTGCTCCAACACTGGAGATCTTTAAGAAGCAACTGGACAGCCACCTCTCTGTAATGGCATGGGGTTCCCTGCTTAAGCAGGGGGTTGGACTAGAAGACCTCCAAGGTCCCTTTCAGCTCTGTTATTCTGTTATTTGAAAGACTCAAAGCCGCCCTTTTCAATGTGCTGTTTGAACTTGGTCGATGATAATGATGTCTGAGCCATTCCTTTTCACCGGATTTTAATTGCTTTATATTTTATTTATGACGGTTAGCAGTCGTAAATAAAACATACGGTTTCCACTGAAATAATACATCGATTCTACAGTACAGTAACACAACCGGGCGTACCGTTAGCTCCACAGTCCTCTTCAACCTGATTAGTTTCCTATTTTCTGCCCCATTCGTTTTAAAATGAATTGCTTATTGGTTATTGTGTTAATGCAGCCAGAATTAGAAGCCAGGAAGCACTCAGCTAACATATTTATTATTAATCAAATATGTATATCAAATTAAAACATTTGGGAGACAAAGGAAGTCAAAGAGTTACTTTGATCTAGTGGTTGAGGCATCAGGCTAGAAAGCGGGAGACTGTGAGTTCTAGTCCTGCCTTAGCCATGAAAGCCAGATGGATGACTTTGGGCCAATCCACAAAAGACTGTGAATTCTAGTCCCACCTTAGGCACTAAAACCAGCTGGGTGACTTTGGGCCAATCACCAGGAGACTGTGAGTTCTAGTCTCGCCTTAGGCATGAAAACCAGCTGGATGACTGAGCCAATCACCAGGGGATTGTGAGTTCCAGTCCCGCCTTAGCCATGAAAGCCAGATGGATGACTTTGGGCCAATCCCCAAGAGACTGTGAATTCTAGTCCCACTTAGGCACTAAAACCAGCTGGGTGACTTTGGGCCAATCCCCAAGAGACTGTGAATTCTAGTCCCACATTAGGCATGAAAGCCAGCTGGATGACTTTGGGTCAATCATCAGGAGACTGTGAGTTCTAGTCCCGCCTTAGGCACTAAAACCAGCTGGGTGACTTTGGGCCAATCCCCAAGAGACTGTGAGTTTTAGTCCCACCTTAGGCATGAAAACCAGCTGGATGACTTTGGGCCAATCACTAGGAGACTGTGAGTTCTAGTCCTTCCTTAGGCATGAAAGCCAGCTGGATGACTTTGGGCCAATCACCAGGAGACTGTGAGTTCTAGTCCCAGCCTTAGGCATGAAAGCCAGCTGGGTGGCTTTGAGCCAGTCACTCCTTCCCAGCTCAACCCACCTCACTGGGTTGTTGTTGTTGGGAAAATAGGGGGAGCGAAGTGTGTTGGATATGTTTGCCGCCTTGAGTTATTTGTAAAAATAATAAAGACGAGATGCATACAAACAAACAAACAAACTAATAAATAAAACCCTACTTCTTGATGAGACTGTAACCGTGACATCTGTTCAAAAGTTAGTCGTGCTGAATTTAATGAGGCCCAATTCCAGTAAAGGTTGTTAGTCTAAAAACAATTTCTATCTCCCCCACTTTTTTTTTTTTTTTTTTACTCACCGCAGTGTAATTTTAGGTGAGAAAGAACTGTTGGCGATCCTTAGCTGTGAAAAAAATTGTGTGTGACAACTACATTCAGCTGATAAAACCAAAGCGCTGTAGCACTTTAGCTTCTTGAGCATCAGTAAAAGAATGACAAGTGCTACTTAGGGTGTCAGGGGAAGGAACGAAAGAAGAGAAGTCACCAGAAGTAAAGTTATTTCGGTCCACTTTGTTGGAACATGTGAAATTATACTGGAAAGTTTGACAACCTCTGTTGTGTAGGAGAAGATTCAAGGAAGAATTTGTTGGCAACACAAGATTAAATGGAAAGTTCTGCTGTTCGAGGTGGGGTTTCACAACTTCAGCAACTTCTAGAAATGCAGGTCTCGACTCCCAGAATCCTCAGGGATGGTCCTACTGGCAGAGGAATTCTGGGGATTGAAGTCCATACTGTACATCTGGCATCTGCCAAGACTTGGGAAATTTGCTTAAGACTGTACAGTCTAAATGGGTTTCTTGTTCTGTATCGTATTTCCAGAAGCTGGGAAAAAAAATTGAGACTCGGTGCCCCCGATTTCAGAAATTAAATCAAAGGTGTTTTCCATTGTTTCACTAGGTGATGAGGAAAAGGGGAAAAAATATCAGAATTTACCTATGCGGTTGTAATATTGTGGGGTCCTTGGTGCTCTCTGAACTTCGTTGCTTTCACATTTCATTACCCAACTGCTAGAAGGAAGTGGGGTTTGCTTTCTGTTACATATAGTGGCTTGCCCTGTCCATGGAGATGCTATTCCAGAGGAAGGGGGCAGCAGTTGCCAAACCATGTTTTCATGGCCTCTGATGATGACAGTCTCTGACTGAGGGAACACATAAAGATTCATCCCTGTGAGATCTTAGCAGCTTGCAGAGGTTGCTGGAAAAAGGGAATTTCACAATTATGTAGAGCCTGAACCTTGATCAATAATATTTCCACTCAATCAATGAACTTTCTATTTCTAAACACCCCTTCTCCACCAATCAACACCCAGATAAGCAGATTTACCCCAAGATACTCATGTTGTTCTATGCAAAGTAGGATCTTTAATCTAGAGCAGGGGTGTCAAACTCAATTTCATTGAGGACCGCATCAGCATTGCGGTTTCCCTCGGGGGGGCAGGGGTGTGTGGCCAGGGTGGGTGTGGCCTACTGGGTGGGCGTGGAGGGAGTGGGTGTGGCCTACTGGGTGGGCATGGCCAACTCTACATTGTTTGCATCAAGGGTGACTGTGGGGCCCTGGGCAGGAGTGGGACAGATCTGAGGGTCTCTGGCAGAAGGGGGTGGGACCGGGGCAAGCTCCAAGGCATGGTCCATTTCTTCATTCCTCACAAAGGGTGACACCTCCCCAGCATGCACCCAGGGGGCGGAGCCAACACGGCAGGAGCTGATTTCTCGCTGGTTCGAGATGGCCTTGTGGAGCTAAGACTGAATGCATTTCAGCATAGATGGCCACCACAAAATTGTACATTGGCTCCCGGCTGGCCTGGGCCAGGGCCAAGGCAGCAGGGGCCATTCCCTCACTATTTCCAGGATGGCTTCACGGGCCACATGAAACCACTTCATGGGCTGCATCTGGCCCTCAAGCCTTGTGTTTGACAAGTCTGATCTAGAGACTACCTTACAAGCCAACATATTGTTTGCATTGCAATTAGCTGCCCAGAGTTACCCTGTGGTAAGATGAGCAGCCCATAAATTTTAAAAAAGGTAAAAGTTTCACCTGTCCAGTCATATCTGACTCTAGGGGGCAATGCGTATCTCCATTTCTTGGCTGAGGTAGCCAGGGTTGTCTGAAGACATTTTCCGTGGTTATGTGGCCAGCATGACTATATGCTGAGGCTCAAGGAATGCTGTTACTTTCCCAACGAAGTGGCACCTATTATTCTACTCTTATTTGCATGCTTTTGAATTACTCGATGGGCAGGAGCTGCAGCAAGGGACAGGAGCTCACCCCGTTGCGTGGCTCTTGGGTCTCAAACATGGACTGCCAGCTTTCCAGCTGACAAGCTCAGCATCTTTAACTGCTCAGCCATTGCACCCTCTTTGATAAATTTTACAAATAAATAAACCCCGAGGTATGTGCTGACACACATTCAAGATTCATACTCTGCATAGAGTTGCTTACTGCATAACAGAGTCGTAGTCCTCAATTGAGTGAACAGTCACTTAGTGACTGTTCAGACATATGCTGGATCTACCTGGGGGCTATTTATGACCCAGATTCAGAATTCTGATCATCACCACCGCATCACACACACACACACACACACACACACACACACACACACACACCGCAGTCATCTGACCAAACTTTGAGTGCTTAGCAACTGGACTGAATTTATGGCCGGTTGCAGCATCCTGTGGTCATGTGGATCATGTTTTATGACAGTTTTGCTGAAACTTGGCATTTGCTTCCGTTTTTGGGCAAAACCCTGACTCAGGGGTAGGCAACCTTGGCTCTTTTATGACTCAGGAATTCTGGCTCAGGAATTCTGGGAGTTGAAGTCCACGAGTCATAAAAGAGCCAAGGTTGCCTTCCCGTTGCCCTAACCCTAGTAAACCATTGGTTCACATAACTACTGAAGCGTTCACTAAACGATTGTGGTGGCTACTCTGTGAGTGCCATGTTTGCTTAACCACAGTTGCAAACAAGCTTGTTGGCAGGCTCTGTTAAGGTTGAATAAGTCGAGTGTCAACGCTGCAAATACTGTATATTCTTGCTTTGACAATATGCAGAACTGTCTGGTATTTTTATAGTTAAATCAGGCAACAGTGAAAGGGGAGGAGAATAAGGAAAGCCCGGGAAAAAGAAACCGGAAGTAAATCACATCTTCCAAGTTAATTGGAAGATGTGAACCATGACCCCAGAATAGGGGAGGGAAAAATGCCTGGAATGTGTGTGCAAGGAAAAGAATCTCAGATCTAAGCATTTCCACCATGCCATACTGACATCTCTGTAACCTTAATAAATGCTTTTAGGATAAAAATATGCCTGTTTCGTTAATCAGACACATGACATCGAGGACTTATTGCAGGTTAAAACCTCAGAAAAACATCTAATCTTTCCAATCAAGGCTCGGTGAAGAGTTGAACAGGACTTTGGATCGTTGGCATTCAAAGCCCAGTCCACTCACCTTCTGCCTCATCCCTACCACGTCCTTCCCCCCCCTTTTTTTAGCGCGGAACCGTGTGGGAGGGAATCAGAGATCGGATGTCCCAACTCCAAGATCGGAATCCAGATTCCGAATTGGAGCAGGACCTTCGAAGCATTGCTAAGGCGACCTCTGAGGATTCTCAGCTGGGGAAACGGTGGAGGAGACGCCGCGCCTGCTGGGTGCATCGGGGAAAAAAAAAAGCTGGTTCTAAAAAAAATTAAAACGTATTTATTTATATATTTATTCCATATATAAAAGAAATTTTTAAAAAAAGAAAAAAGAAAAGGAAAGTAATCGTAAGGAGGATGCAGGCTTATGGCAAATCCGTCTTGTCTGCGGCTTCTGCCTGGACAGTTGACTCGGATCCGCCCGGAGTTAGTAAAGTCCGCCGGTTGTAGTGACCCTTAATGATGCCTGAATTATTGTTCTCGTTTAAAATTTGCTTCTGCTTTTGCCTGTTCAGAGATTGCACGAGTCCCAGCACGACGGCGGCTAAGGAATATTGTCCCGTTAGTTTTCTCGGTTGCATGGTCAAAGGGTTAGGCTGGACCCTTCCCAGAAGGAAGTAGGTTTTGATTTTGCCTTCTTGCTCGCTGATGCCCTTGACGTAAATCTCTCCCCGATAGTCGAAGGCGAATCCTCGGTCCTTCAAGATCATATAGGTCTCCTCAGGCACTTGCATCCGGCCGCTAATTCCGGTACTGTCCATTCGGCTAGCTAAATTAACAGTTTTGCCCCAGATATCGTACTGTGGTTTCTTAGCACCAATGACCCCAGCTACAACCGAGCCGTGGCTGATACCTACGAAGAGAGAGAAAAAAAGCAAATTACGATTATGATACAGAGCGATCCTACGAAATTCGAGGGTTTCAGTGAATCTAACTATATCCAGGGGTGGGATTCAGCCAGTTCGCACCACTTTGGCAGAACCGGCAGCTAATTTTTTGTCGTCCAGGCTCAGAATGGACTTCCGGAAGTGGCATCCATGCAGAGAACTGGTTGTTCACATATTTGAATCCCATCACTGACTATATCCAGTTCCTCTCCAAATCCTTTCCCCGGTGTCACACAGAGAGTTAGAGCCTTCGAACTTGCAGTGGACAAATTGTGGCCCCACAGACATTGCAAGGGTACAGGTAGTCCTTGGCTTATGACCACAACTGAGCCCAATGCTTATGTTGCTAAGTGAAACATTTGTTAAGTGAGTTTTGCCCCATTTTATAAACTTATTTTGCTACGCTTGTTAAGTGGATCATTGAAGTTGTTAAGTTAATAACGTGGTTGGTAAGTGAATCTGGCTTCCCCATTGGCTGTGCTTGTCAGAAGGTCGCAAAAGGGACGCTGCAACCATCATAAATATGAACCAGTTGTTAAGCTTCCAAATTTTGATCACATGACTAAGGGGATGCTACAATGGTTGTAAGTGTGAAAAATGATCGTAAGTCACTTTTTTTGAGTGCTGTTGTAACTTTGATTGGTCACTAAATAAACTTGTAAGTCGAAGACTACTGTAATGGTAAAATACAAGAGGGGCACGTTCCAACTACATCTTAAAGACCACATGGTGTCCATTGCTCAGCTAACAGAAGAAGGGAGGAATAAATATTTCCTAGGTTTAACATATAATGTTAATACATATGCATTCCCCTGTCCTATTTGTTTTTGAAGCACCATTCAAGGTGTTTCTGGGTTGAAGGGATGAGTTGGTGACATCACTGTTGCCTGGGGAACGCACATGGGGGCTCCTTTCATGTCCCCATCAAGAAGCTGGAGCGAGTGACGTGAACTCACCCTGCCACCCAGCAGCACTCAGGTCTCAAACGCGGGTTAGCTAACCTCCAATCTAACCTCCTAACTACATGAGCCACCATGCTCCTATAACACATATACACTAATAGAAAGGAATATTTGTAATTCAGGGTTGAAATCTGTAGTCCTTGGTGCTCTCTAAACTTGATTGTTTTCTTGCAGATGTTCCAGAAGTGCACTGATGATGTTACCTAGTTGGGTAATGAAATGTCCACAAGAAAATAACCAATCTCAGAAAGCTCAAGGGACCCCACAAATATACACGCAACAGAACTTAAACTGTAAGGGAATTTCAATATACTGCTACTAGTTAATAACTTAAAAGAAGCTGATAGAGCCATGGATACAGGGTGTGATATATCGGGAAGGTTTGTAAAGAGTTGGAAAGATGCCAGCAATTGTTGGAAATAGAATCATGGCTTTATTAACACAGGGTTTAGCCCTCATCTAGTGTCGAAGAGAGACTGGCTGAGCCAGAGGGAGTCAAACAGGGAATTAGTCTGGAGTCATTACATAGGCATAGAAAAGCAAGGTCCGGCCCTACTTGAATGCCACTGAACTTTTATCTAGTCTGGCTCAGGTACAAACTGCCAGTCTGGGAAGATTTTTGTGAAATAGACACGAGCAATAAAGTAGCTAATTGAACTCTTCATGTGTGGATCTGGTTGCTTCACCAGACATCTAGTTCAAATATTGGAGAAATGATATCATGACCTTGTGAAGAGTTGCTTGCACGCTTCAGGGAGGAAGTAACTTTGGGTTTTCAAAGGAATGCATGTGTAAGTCTTGCTGACCTTTCTACCTATGGCAAGCTGCATTAAAGTGATTCAATTAATCAGCTGGTGGGCACCTTGCTGATCTAGGGCACCGTGGAGATCACGTTCAGCAGATACGTACCAATGCGGAGCTCAAAGTTGTTGAAAGAATGCTTGTTAATCTCTTGAATGCTTTCATTCAGTGCAATGGAGAAATCTGCCAGGGCGCATAAATGGCCCCACTTATCTTCACACTGCTGAGGAATGAAAGACAGAATCAACAATGGCTGTTCGCTGATCAGCTGCTCTGTCAACAGGGAGCCAAATTCTGCAACAGTTCAGAGGACTGAACTTAAAGATTGCGGAATATTAGCCAGGAGAGAAAGCTTTTCTCTTTTTGGAATATCACAACATCACAATCGCAACATCACAACAAAGAGAACTTTCTTTTGAGACATGGGAAGATTCTAGTCCTGTTCAGTTCATCTATCTAATTTGTCCTTGCTCTCCCATACTCACTGAGGATGCCATTTTAGAACAGAACGGAATGGAATGGAATGGAAT